CTTTACTTAGTTCTTGTGTTTTACTTGAAGTGGTGTTAAGATTAAGATAACTGAGAAAATTCATTTACCACTTGTCAATTCTCAATATAATGCATGTGTTTATTTTAAAACTCAAAGTAAAATAATAATTATCTTATTACCTGATAATTTAAAATGTCACAATATTTGTACAATGTACGTGGCAGATGAATAAATTAAATATTGTGGGTGAAAAAAATTAGTTTGGGAAAACATTACGAGTAAAAAACTTATACTACTATTTGTTAATAAAAAACTTAATATGATTTACTTTAACATATTTTTAAATCTTTCGATCGCTTACGTACTTCTATTTTCTTTATTCGTAAGAAAAGACATGCATTTAGCCGGTTTAGACTAGCCATTACAGTTCAGTTCTTAGAATTGAAAAGATTCACTTAACAGCATTGTTTTTATTTAACAACACGGGTACCGGACCAATGAGGTTCCAGGACTGAAAGAAAAGAAGTAAAAATGTAATGCTTCAAACTTCAACTAATCAACTGTTAAGCTAATTTAATTTTTAATGAGTGGTGCAATTAGTGTTTGGTACAATGATTTGTTGCATCATTGTCAGTGGCAATGAGAGGTTGTAAACGAAAACATAACATCTCTTAGAAATTATGAGTAGTGATTTTTAGTAATTAGAACACTTTCGAAGGTAAAGTAGTGTACTCAACTCACGTAAATAGTCTTAACGACACAAGTAGATGTTTTTAAGGCTCTTACCTTAAATTTCTACTTATGTAGTTAAGACTATTTTTACGCAATCGTTGCGTAAACTACTATATCTTTTGATTAATGGTTTTGTTGTAAATAAATGTAGTAAATATAAATACAATATCTGTAATTGAAATTAATAAAACTTATCGAACCCCTCCTACTCAAACTATACTAACATCTAAGTGTTTATTGCAAAGATAGATAAGGTCTGGAAGGAATATTTGCTCCTTGAAGCACAAAGTCGGAGCCTGTAATTAAACTGTGTTTTAAATTAAAAGTTCTCTTGAGGTAAGTCTGTGTGTTTAAACTAAATAGTTCATTAAAGAAGTTAATTAAATATCCTTCCGTACGTAGGTTCATTAAAAAATAATATAATTTTTAAACAACATAATTTTTACATAGGTAATTATGTGATTTTCTGCAGGCAAAATTTAAAAGGTGAAAATAAAAAAATAACTTAGATCTAATTAGATTGAGATTTCTACTACTGAGATAAAATTTATAAATATACAGGATGACAAAAAAGTCTGGAAACGGCTTAAAATCTTTTTAACTAAATCCGTTAGAAAATTCAAACCTTTCACATAAACTTACATGTATGAAAACTAATTTTAGCAAGCATTACCATTTTTTTACCTTCACCAGGGGACGGCCCATGAGGAGTAGGTACATAATCTTTAATGTAAGCATAGGTTGATATGCACATCATTTTAAAGGTCTGGTCAAGTGGAGTTCATTGGCGGAAACCGCGTCAAAAAAAGGTTCATCCAAGTTACAAAATGACGGCAGTCCAAAGTTCATGTGAAATTTAGTATTGGTAAATACTCATAGTCAACATTAGCCGGGAAATCTGAAACCCGGTTAAATTTGTTTTGAAGAAACTTAGTCTATGAGCTAGTTGACTTTGAAATACAATTTCAACTCTCAAGCTAATGTTTATTACGAGTATTTACCAATAAAAAGGCCTGTGCAGGTATTTTCCGCAAAAACTTTGGACTGCCGCCATTTTGTAACGGATGAACCTTTTTTGACGCGGTTTCGGCCAATGAACTCCACTTGACCAGACCTTTAAAATGATGTTAATATCAACCTATGCTTACATTAAAGATTACGTACCTACTCCTCATGGGCCGTCCCCTGGTGAAGGTAAAAAAATTGTAATGCTTGGAAAAAGTAGTTTTCATACATATAAGTTGATGCGAAAGGTTAGAATTTTCTAACGAATTTAGTTAAAAAGATATCAAGCCGTTTCCAGACTTTTTTGTCACCCTGTATATATTCTTAACTACCAGTGTAAAAATTTAGCATCAATATTCTTACAATAACAGCAATAACATAGTATTTTGGTAAATCAATCGGTTAAATTGTGTGTAAAATAGTATAAATTATTTGAGGGAAACTGAAGTTATTTACTTTTACGTCACATTGAAAACACATTTAAAAACTTTATTAGTTTTGTTAAAAAAAATTATACACATGTATCTCTAAATTTCTGAAGAATTAAAATATTTTGTGTGAATTCCTTGTATGCTAAGGTCCCAAAAGAAATTCCAGAAAAAAACGTTCCAGTAAAAAATCTATGTGGCTATACTATAGTCAAATAATGCTCTGTTAAAGTATTACCGTGGAGTGACAATTTTAAGAAGCGTAATACGAATCGTAAAATTTTTAAATTGATAAAGCGTTTTACATCTGTATTATTCAAAGTTATGTTCGGGCGATGGTGAGATTTATCAGAGCCAAAGCCCATTATGTTGATGAGGAATGGTCGGGACACTGAATGAAATATCGGACCCAGGACCCAGCACTGCTGGGTTTGTCTTGTGTCCTTTATACGTAATGAATAGACACTACACCGTGTTCTGGCAGCTGTGTATTGAATGTGCAAGGCTAATTTAAAAAATTATAAGATTCGGATTTGTTTCATTTTAAAATTATTTTTAGTTTTTAAATTTATATATATAGTTATTAGAAAGTAAAGATTTTTATGTATTATTAGTTGGGCTACATTGATATTATATCGAATATTGTAGTGGATCTTAATGCCATAATTGGGTATTTTAGCTTTAAAAATAGATTTTCCGTACAAAGCTCTTTGGATCAGTAAAAAAATTTGAAAAAATATTAAAATTTAAATGTAAGCTGTTATAATTAGACTAATGAGAGTGAGGTTTGTTTTTAAATACATGTTTATGGGCCTGGATACTACTAATTTACATAACCTATGATTGACATCTATAAACAATATTTATCAGGCATTGATTATACACCTTCGATATAAGAAAGAAATACCCCCGCTCCAGCAAACCTGCCAACTAAGCAATTTTCCATTTGTCTGAATTAATTTTTAATTAAATCTATTTTAAAAACATTACCGTAGGTTTAATGAGTACCTAGGTTTGCTGCTACACAAGGAAACTAATAAAGGGTATTTTTTAGTAAAATATTAATAACTTACTACTCTATTCTTACTCCTGTGGCCACTCAAATCCAAGAAGATTTTTGGACTAGATTTTTTTTTTACTTCCCTATAAGAAAATTTGCTAATATTTATTTTCATTAGTAATTTTTCATATATACTTATTAAAATACAGTAAATAAATGCATAAAACTCATATTGGTTGGCAAAATTAGTTATTTGGAATTTTGTCTCACAATTAATTGTTATTTAAACATATAAATGTAGGATAGGATGGTAGGCTTTTACTTTATTATTTGTTAGCAACATAAACTTTAGCAAAAATAATCACAATATCATTTAAAAATAAAAGTTTGTGTGGTTAAAAATGTGTATAAATTTGAAATGTAAATCTAACAAAATATATCCGCGTCTCGTTCTGTCCCTGTTCAGGAATATTTCATATTTGTGTCAACTTTTTCTGCAGTTGTATTTTTTTAAATTTACATAAAGATTTTATATTTATACATTACGTATTAGGTATTATTCAATACTACCTTAATATAACCTTAAACTATACAAAAAATATCACCATAAAATACGAAAAATAACATTAAGCATTACATGAATTTAACAGTATGTATAGAATTGAAATGTGAATCCAACAAAATATATCTGCATCTTATTTTGGGTCTGTCCAGAAATATTTTAATATTTATTTCAAATTTTTCGGTATCGGAAAACCATTTTTCTTTGTGCTTAAAGATTTTATATTTAACACAAGTAACCAAACATCCTATTCTGAAAAATATATTTATTGTTCAAAAGCAGTAGTTTACAGTACCGATTATTTATTCCGATAAGCATAGTTTTGAAGTGATAAAGGTGTTGAGAGTTTTGATATTAGTTGTCCATGCTTATTGCCAGGCAAATGATCCACTTCCAAAGTTTTTATGAAGAAAGTTTTATAGTTTGCTTTCGTCAATCCTAGAACTCAACTATAGTTTGTGGTTGAATATTTGATGAGTTGTTTGTGAGATATTTTTGGTATTTTATGATCAATATTTCATACGGAAGGTCAAGGTTGCTTTAGGAAAAATTTGATTAATATGTGTACTAGGAAAAAACGGTTTAAATTAATTTGCATATCTTTGAGAATACATACATTAAGTTGCTAATAATGGTGGTGTTCTTTGTTTAATATACTACAGCTACAAAATGATTGTACAGTAAAACCTCTTTTCACTATGACAACAAGTATAAATTAAGGTCTGTGTTTCTTTACGCAAACTTCACTAAATCCGTTCTATAGTTTTGATAATTCTTTATGACACTGAGTAGTAAGCTATTTAGGACTTTGAGGCGTGTAACTTTAAGCAGGTTGATTTTGTGTTGAAGCTAAACTTCTGATCTCCTGTGCGACAGATCTGAAATAAAATTACTGAAGTTATTTGGATATCTTGCTTTCCCCATCCACACGTGCTTATCCTGTACTTGGATTTGATTAAAAAAAAAATAATAAATAAACATCTGTAGTATCACTGCTACTGATTAGTAGTCTGAGCTACCAATTGACCTACCGACTCACCAACACAAATACCCAATACTTTTCTACCAATACTTTTACTATGTTTCTGTGTCAGATAATACTAGTGTGACCACTCCACATCGATCAGGGAATCAACATTAATTAAAACTATTTCAACCAATCATTGATTATAGTTTCTTACTGATATATTCCCTGTTGCAGAGAGTACCCGTGTGACCACTACACCCACAGCGATCAGGGAACCAACCACTAGTACAACTATTTCAATCAACCATTGATTACAGCTTCTCACTGTTATATTTCCTGTTGCAGAGAGTACCCGTGTGATCACTACACAGCCATTATCAACGTGACTCTGATGAACACAGGGTGTCCCAGAACCCAAGTACATGAAACTGCGCTACAGCTGCTACAGGTGTTGGACAAAAGGTTCTTCGGCGCCGTGGGACCGTTACCTGCCGAAGGCGACACTGGTGAGTCCACTTTGCGTCTGAGATCCTAACTTGACTAACTATAATGTGTTAAAGTGAAATAAACGGTGTGAAATGTGGGTGTTTTGATTACCAAGTGGTTTCACCCGTTTCGGTTGGTTTTGGTTTTACGGTATATGAGCGTTTTGAAAGCATTGGAGGGATGGTGGTTTTATACTTCAAGTTGTAGGCCATGAAGGTTGGTTTTGAACTAGAAGTGTCTTGCTTATCGGTCCTTTTTTCAGACATTGATGTAATCTGTCATTTTATTTTTGGTTTGTCAGCTGCTACCATTGAGCTGCAGTATACCTCAATGGCAAAGACAGTATTGATTATTGATTTTATTGACTGTATTGATCAAACAAAGATGGTACAAGTTAGCCACCACCTAGTTCATGAGGGTTTGGTCTTGGTGAACCTGTTCAACTTCAACTTCTAAACTACCGTATTCATAAAAGTTTGGCATATCAGCCCAAGGTACTTCCACAAAGCTATCTTGTTCGTGAGTGTTTATATTATCACCTATAGATGCTACTAATCCATCGTGTTTATGAATACTTTCCTTATCAGCCCAAAATTAGACTACTCAGTCACACTATTTATTTATACTTAACATATTCTCATCAAAATCATTTCAAGACTAAATTGTTGTACCCACACATAAATTGAACAAATAAAGTCTCTAATATTGTCAATGCTACATATAACTCAACTGAACCTCAATACAACTCTGCATTTAACACTAGACAAGGGCAGTACCACTAAATTCATTATACATTATTAATTTATTTGTATTCTTTATACAAAGTATTGCATACAAGCATACACGCCGGGCCATTAATGATAAAAGCTTGAGGTCTCTGTAGGTTTCACTATTAGTCATGTATTGTTGGTTGGGTAGAAGGGCAGAGGGCCACTAGCATGTACTTGATTGGTGGTTAATGTACCTACAAGATTTGATCAATTAATTCAATCTTACCTGTCTAATATTTGTGCTGTTTCTAAAGCTATTACAAATTCTAATCCAAATCAAAGAAGCCAAACATTTTTAAGTTTTGAATGTAGGGATGGAAAACATCGTAAAATGTTACTCAAATGAAGAATGAAAATAAGCCATTATACTTTTCAATAATATTCAAGGGCGGGTGATGTATTTTCAAATTTTAAGTTAAATCAAGAAAACATTGTAAAACGTTTACTCGATCGAAAAATAATCGCAGAAACATCACAAAATATAATACAATGTACTAAATGGTGCAATGTGTCAAAAATGTGCACCTTGAGTCATGACAAAATAACTCTTTGTAATAAAAAAATATTTCTTGTAGCTCAGAATGTTATATACATGTATATTACTAAACAAATTTTTTAACTGACCCAATATATTTGAAAAATCATTTTCTAAGTTCAGTTGTTAGTAAATCACTTCCAAATCATAATAGCATGCCCTTGATTGGTGGTTAATGTACCTACAAGATTTGATAAATTATTAAAATCTTACACGTACAATATTTGTGCTAATTTTTAAAGCTATTACAAATTCTAATCCAATCCTAAGAAGCCAAATGTTTTTTTAAGCTTTGAATGTAAGGATGGAAATCACCGTAAAATGTAATTCAATTGAAGAATGAAAACAAACCATTATACTTTTCAATAATATTCAAGGGGGGGGTGAGGTATTTTCAAATTTTGAGTTAAATCAAGAAAACATCGAAAAATAATCGCAGAAACATCACAAAATATAATACTATGTACTAAATGGTGCAATGTGTCAAAAATGTGCACCTTGAGTCATAACAAAATAACTCTTTGTAATAAAAAAATATTTCTTATAGCTCAGAATGTTATATACATGTATATTACTAAACAAATTTTTTAACTGACCCAATATATTTGGAAAATCATTTTCTAAGTTCAGTTGTTAGTAAATCACTTCCAAATCATAATCAATCTTGAATGTCTAACAATATTGTGGAATTATTACGTATCAATTTTCAAAAAAGGTGTTCAATCCAAAATGTCACATCACCCTGTGCTAACTTATTCTTTTACATCGTCTAAAAAAGCGACCCCTTTCAACAGATTTGTTCTCTTTTCACTGTAAAACTGCATGTACAGTACTTACTACAATGATAGCCTCTTGGCTAAGTAAAGATAAAAACAATATAGGTCAAGTATTGAATTGGAGAAGGGCAACTCCTCAGTACTTAAAGTGAAGCATTAAGTCTTAAAGTACTCAAAGTATTTATTTTAGTCTGTTGAAAGTAAAAAAATATGAAAGCCAAGCTTAAATAAAGTAAAGTAAACAAGAAATAATTAAAATTGACTCAAGAATAATTATTTCTGAACTGTGAAAGCGTCTATCTAATTGTAATTGTGTTTAAAAGTTGGCATTATTTGCATAGCTCTTCCCAACCAGTATTCCAGAGTTATTAAAACTCTTTGCTATGCTACAAATAAGTTTAGTGGAATCTACAGGCTATAATAAGTATAAAATTGTACTAATACAGTAACAATTATGTACTTTGGTTTTCATATTTTGTTAGTGCATTTTTTATGAGTTAACTCTTATTTACCAAGTTCTTGCCGTTAGTTATTGTTTATGTTCCTAATTTTCTTAGCATACAAAATTAGCGGTGATGATGTTTTAATACAAAAGAATAATAAAAATGAATACTAGTTTATGGTATCTAAAAATATTCTAATTGCAATCAAAATGTTTAAGTAAAATTGTTTTGTTATAGTGTAAAATATAAAGTAAAAATATTCAGTAATGTTCTCAATATTCTTAACACTTTACAAATTAGATCAAAATAACATATATGTATCCACTTGATGGGTTTTGAAGTCAGTTAAAAATGAATCGATGAATATCTTTTTATTTGGAATGAGAACTCGTAAAACAAAATGAACTAGGTTGTGATGTATGAATAATATACTTTAAAACTTTTTGTCGAAAATAATATTTTATACAAAAGTAATAAATACTATTACAAACAACATAAAACAATGAAATATACTTAGTAATAAATATTTCTAGGTCAATAAAAACATGTAGTTATTTTATACAAACGGTTAAATTACTAAACAGTTAAGAGTTGTGTAAAAATTAGATATTTAATAACAAAATATTACATTGTTAGCAGGTCACAACATAGTTGACAATTATGGAATATACATTTTATACATTCTTATTGATGGCAACATTTTAAGCGTGGGCTGTAAAATTGTTTTTGGCTCCAATTTAATTCAGAAATGTGTTAACTTGTAAAAAAATAACTCAGTTAAGAGAAGGGTTTTAAACTTGCTATTTCAGGTTACTCTAGGGAACTTTGGCGAGTGGAATTAAAAAGTTACGGCATGACAATAAAGTTGACAATTCAGTAAAGAGAGAAAACAATTATCGTTTAAAACTAAATCACTGTGTTAACTTGGACTTTGTTTTAAATCCAATTCATAATAAATTTTGTGTGTGGAATAGTATTTGATTATGCATTGTTAATTCTCTCAATTAACATTTAAAATCCAGCTATAATTGTTTATTAATTATTTCAATAAAATATCAGTTTGTTAGTTTGAAATGAAGTTTGCTCGGAGCAATATTTTAATATTATATTTACCGTTTATTATGGCATGAATTTCAGAAAAAAACAATCTATTACCTTAGGTAGGATTGATAATTAATTATACTTGTTTTTACTTACTAAACAATTAATATTAACTGTAGGCTAATTAGCTCACACTTCTCAGGGAATGTTAGTTCCCTACAGTGTCATCAGTTTTTTCAACAGGGAAATATAAATTTATTTCTTCTAGTGGGAGACAATCTAATTCAACTGACAACTCTAACTTGGACTGATAAATTTACGTTTTTGTACAGTGACATATGATGAAGTTACAAAATAATATTAGTAAAATATCTCATTAAATGTCTTCACATAGAAAATGTTGGATTAGTAGATTCTCCTTATGGCGTATAATGGATTCTAATTATTTTTCAAACACAAATAATACGTCACAGTTTTCTAGGCCGTACAGCTCACATTGTCTGGATAAAAAGCTGATTGATAATGCACTTGAATGAACGTATACACTTTATTACTTAATTGTGGATTACTAAAATTGAGGTTAAGTACCAATTGGAGGTAGTGAGGGTAATATTTTTGCTCAATAGTATTGAACCATAAAATTTCAAAGCGACTAAAACAATTAAAACATTCGGGGTGATTAAATTCATAACTTTCATAAAACAATTCTAAAACACCAAAGAGAACTTAATGATTTTATCCCAAACTTAACCTATTTTGTGGAAAGAGCAGAGTTCTATTCTAGTTCCTTCCCTTAATTGACTAAACCTAATAAGACAGTCAGGGCGGGTCGTCATTTCCATTGTTCCAAATCCATTGTTTTACTTTGTGTAAACTTATAATGCAATAAAACATAAATGGATTGAATCTCAGAGGGAATTAAAACTTGTTCACTATTTCTTGAGTATTTTTGGTTTGATAATTGTATTTCTCGAACTAATGATAAATTGGTTGGGGCTGTAAAAAGACCAAATGTGGTTAGCAATGTTTTTGACTCTCTTGTAACTGCTTGCATAAGTGACATTTTTTAGTAACAATTCAAGGAAAATAATAAATTATTTTTAATATGTTGAATCTTTAAAAATTGAAAATATATATAAAGATTGGTACATAACTCTATAAATTAACAAAGTATTTTACTAACCATGTGTTGGTAAACCCTATCTTATTATTATTGAAATATACTGTGAGTAAATAAAATTTTGACCATACTATTTATTACATCTACAAAATTTTATATTTGGGATTTTATCCTACAAGCTGAATTCAATCAGTTACAGAAATAAAACAAAACAAAATTGAAATGATTGTCAAAGTGTCTCAAAACGTCCATATTATTAACATATTAAATATGTGGCTGCGATTTTGTCATTTACTGAATATTATTAAATATGACACTCTTCTCCTTCATAAAATATTGGATTGGCAGATTCATTTACACAAATTGTTGGTGTATATTTACCTTATTTCGTCCAGTCTAGAGAAATAAGTTACTAAAAATGTTTTGTTTACGTTAGAACTAAACGTTTTGTATAACCCAATTAAAAGAGTTTAAGATATAGTAGTGTATTAAAAACTATTTTTAAGTTTTAATATCCCATTCATTTACTGCAACAAAACATTTGTAATCGTTCATTTGTTAATAATTAAAAATTTTATGAATTCTAGTTATTTTATTTTAATTATATAAAAAAAATTCTACAGTAATCGATATATTAGAATGTTGATTTGTCATGGTTTCTATTTTTTTTGTTTTCTACCATTCTAATATTCGTAAAGTAGTAAAGATAATTGAGTCTAAAGAAGATATTTATTGACTATGACCTGAATTAGATAGAATTCCTTACATTACACATGTTAGTTACATTCATAAGCATTTTAAGTTAACTCTCATTTAAACCGAAACTTAATGTAATTTAAATGATTCAATCTAAAAGAAAAACAATGAATGATCTCCTAACCTTTTCAATGTAAGCAATCAAAGGAGTGATCTGATGCCTTAAAGCATAAAATTCCCACATTGACTTTATTATAACATTATTTTATATTGTAACAATTTATTCCTTTAAATTTTCCCTACCTACTTTACAATCTAAAATTATATTTTAGACCTCAGTATCTTAATCAATAAAAAATATGAATAAAGACAAGTTTAACTTTATAACCCAACTCTTAAAAAATCCTTTAAATACGCACTTTGGATTATATTTTTATGTATTTAGCAAAGTAGATAAAAATATGTAGAAGTTCAATACATTTGACCCAAAATGTAGTTGAGTGTATTCCATTTTTATCTATTAAAACTATTTTTAAATTTTCGATTTTAAATTGGCCATTCTTTTAATTGCTCCAAAAGCAAATTTAATAATTAATATTGTGGAAGAACATTTTGTTAATCTAGATGATTTATGATGCCTTGGATTATTCCACCTAATTAAGTCCTGAAAGGATTAAATTAAAAAGTAAATGGTGGTACGTTTAACTAACATTACATGACAAGTTGGGGATTATAGAGTTTATAAGCTGGCGAGGAAGGATTTCGTAAGTCATATATCATCTTTGAAAAAGCAGTGTTAGAGGTATATCCTGTTCTATAACGAGTAAGTCGTAACTCTACAAAAAAACCTTTCAAAGTAGATGTGAACTTAACTTTACTTGTGCTACAGTCGATCCTATTAATTACCAAGTTCATTACTATAAAAAGTTTGTAATTGAGGTCAATAGTTTTTTTTCTTCAACGATCCAAGAACTATCCCATCATAGGTACTAAGGTATATTGTTTTATAATGATCAGCAAATTTTTCTCAAACCTAAAATATTTTAATACTACAATGAACTTATATCCTTCTATAACTTTTATAATATTTCTGTACCTAATTATTTTACAAACAAAACTTATTATTTCTCAACTCATTGTTAAGTCTAGTTTGCCCTCGACAAACTTATAGAACTATCCCATAATAAGATATCGACCTGCAAACTTCTCCAAAAGTTTTATTAGAAGTAATTGAAAGTTGGCCAAGAGGTTTGGAGATGAATTTTGAATATCAGACTCAATTATTGTTCAAATATTAAACTACCTTCTGAATTTACCTTTCGATATTGTTGATACACCGAAGGAAAATGTATTTGGGTTGTTTGTAAGTGATGTATACCTACATGCTTTTGTTGAATGTTTCGTTCAAGATATCGATTCAATCTTTCACTGACCCTATTTAAGAACAACTATTAGCTTAAAAGTTATTTCTATATATTTATGCAAATGAACTTAAAAAAGTAAACGACAGAATACTATGCAGTATGCACATAACCTAAATCATCAAAAAATCTTTAGATTAACGGTTGTTGGTTTTTGTTACTTATTAAATGTGAATTGAAATAATGTAGGCCTATTCAGTTCTATTTATTGTGATTAATTAAATGACAGTTTAAAACTCTATATAGATTGTACCATTCGGTTGTTGTGGACCGTTTTAAAATTTTTGAAAAAAAAAAACTCCTGGAAATTTTAGCAAAAAATTCTTCTTGAAGTTTTATTAAAATTTTCTCATTGAAGATTTAGCAGGAATTAAAAGTACATAAAAAATTATGATAATTGAAAGTGATACAAAATGTTACAGTGACAAAAATGTTTTATCTAATAAATAAGGATATATATATAATAAATGGGAAAATACGACGTGTAAGCAAATAGCCCCCCATAAATACATGCAATCCGGCATATCTTGTTGCAAGGTGCATAAACAGTTTAATTTATTTCAAACTCATGACCTATCTCACTGGGTTGTACATGTTGTACATGTTTTATGTTGTGTTAATGCAACACCGGAGATAGCAGTATGTTTATAGGACTCTCCTTATCTCACTGAATATGTGTGTCTCACTCACAACATAAAACATGTGCAGAGGTAAAACATAATGGTTATTCTCTTTAAACAAATACATTTATTGTAGTCTTTCTAACTTATTTACTAAGCGTTAATAATTAAATGGATACTTTTAACTAATTCAATGTAATTAATTGTCCTTGCTTCATGGATTTTTGTGTTTTATAGTTTAAAATAACCCAACTTACCTGATAAAAAAAAATAATCCTCTTGAGTTAGGGTTAATTTAATAATTAACTCGTACATTGGATGAATGGTGAAAGTACATGTTAAAATTGTTTATATACTTTTTGTTAAACTATACTTGAAAGATATCAAAGCGTATTATTGACAACATTTTCTTTCATTAGCTTTTTACAAAACAGGCAAACAGATATTTTAAGAAAATTCTACTTTAATATGGAAATGTTTTCATCAATCCAGCTGTAAAAGCTTGTAAATGAATTACATTAAAAGAGAAAATAAATTATGTTAAAATTATCATGCCTACTCCAGCGTAAACTTAACACTTGTCAAAGACTAATAGATTAGTTGTTTTAAAGGAAGAATGTTGCTAATTTTGTGATCCATTTTTAACTTTTTAACTTAAATATTAAAGGTTTAATATAATTACTAACTTTTCCACTCACACATAATTAAATATCATTGGAATTTCTTTGATGTTCACTCATGAGGAAAGGTATGGAGTTATTTTAAACATGTGACAAGATTCAATTTAATTAGACAATTTGTTTCGAGGAATGAATTGAAAGAAACTATTTCTTTTTTGGAATGTGGAAGGATATAAAGGAATATAAAGACACATGCTATATGTACACAAATTTTATTAAACATTTAAAAATATAAGTGTGATGCACATTTATATTTTATTTACAAATGTAGAACAAATTAAATTCATAGTTCCTGGAATATTACTATTGAGTTAGTTTTTATTTAAACAATTTTCTTTCTGGCCCGAAAATTATAAGAAATATTGTAAGTTATCGTAAGTACAAATTTCACTACTTGAAATCATCCTTAATTGTAATTTGGGCATACAAAATCAAATTAACGAAAGCTATACATTTTTCTTTTTGGAAGAGTACAAATTACATATCAAAATAGTTTCACTGACAATACTTTAGGAAATCCAATTCAAACATTTCAAACATTACGTTTAAACAATTTCTTGTGGAAAACTACGAAAGGTTTATCTTACAAAACAATATTTTAGTTTTCTACCCTTCACATAACAATTATCTACACATACGATCCATAAAAGAATCACAACCACATAAAAGAACAATACACTTTGATATTAAAATTGTAAAAAAGTAATCTCTTTCTTTCAATTTATAATCGTGACGTATACGTTCCCCATTTATTCACATAAACTATATACACATTAGAGTTAGTCATTGACATTAATTTCTACCACAGCCAGACTTCGTTATGTTTTGTGTTGTGTTATGTTTACTTCGTGATCGGTAACAACTCGTGGTTGTCCCTCCAGGAACCGTTGTTCAAAGTAACAGTTCTGCGGCGATACAGGGACCCGGCGGAACGGGTATATTCTGACACCACTAAAACATAAAGGTTAAATATTAGATACGCTTCAAATGTAATGATGACTAAATAATTGTGCTTCTAGGAACCGTTGTGTTTAAAGTAACAGTTCTGCGGCAATACAGGGACCCGGCGGAACGGGTATATTCTGACACCACTAAAACATAACGATAAAATATTAGATACGCTTCAAATGTAATGATTACTCTAAATAATTGTGCCTCTAGGAACCGTTGTTTAATGTAACAGTTCTGCGGTGATGGAACTAGTATATCGTGAAGCCACTAAAACATAACGATTAAATATTAGATGGGCTCCAGCTGTAACAGTTGTTTGAAGTAACTGTTGAAGGAACCCGACGGAACGAGTATATTCTGTCACCACTAAAACAAAGAATAAATATTAGATGTGCTCCAGCTGTAGGAACCGTTCTTTAACATAAAGTTACAGTTCTGCGGCGATGCAGGGACCCAACGTAAATAAGTATAATCTGACACCACTAAAACATAACGATTAAATATTAGAGATGCATTAACTGTAACAGTTAGTAATAATTGTCCCTTCAGCAACCATTGTTTAGAGTAACAGTTCTGCGGTGATACAGGGGCCTGATGGAACGAGTATATTCTGACACCACTAAAACATAACGATTAAACATTAGATGTGCTCCAGCTGAAGGAACCGTTGTTTAAAGTAACAGTTCTGCGGCTATTGAACAAGTATATTCTAAAACCATTAAACATAGTTAAATATTAGACATGCAGTTACAACTTCAAACAATCATGTTAGGAACGGTTGTTTGTGTTATTTATAAGATTATTGTGGACATTTTACATCACCATTATTATAAAACAATGAATGCATTTCCATGTATTTACCAATGGTTGTTGAAAATTTCTCTTAAATGACGGGAACTCACTCTCACCTAACATTAACTAAAACAAAGAACGGCTGTTTGCTATTGAGATTCCACAAACTTAAACTTTGTTGGTTGGTAAAACTAAGTAACATACTATTGTTAACAGATAAATTAGATAATACTCATAACAAGTGGTATGAAGAAGCATCAAACTAATGCACTAAACAAATAATATTAAATTTACAAACCTACATTATTAAAATATAAGATTATATTTACAAACTAAAATTTAATTAATAAAAAATATAGGCCTTCCTTTCTAGCCCAGTGTTAATGAATAACATAGTAAAAATTACTTAACCTCCTGTGAATAAAAAAACAAGTAAATATTCTAATGATAATGTATATTGCCAGTATTACTCTAACTATTGAAAAAACACTCCTTACTTTTCTTCAAAAAATAAATATCACATTTTATTGCACTCTAATGGATGTCAATTTTTTCTGCAGCTATTTGTGTTGTACTACTGAAACTATTTACAAAATATTTACTACAACTTACCTTTAAAATTACCCATCAAATAATATTAGGTTGTATTAGGTTATATTAGGTTGTGTTGCTAGCCTTAGTGGCTAGCATGTCGGACTTCGGTGCGGGAGGGACGGGTTCAATCCCCGGCACATCCACAAAACTTTAATGGGTTTGGACCGCTTTCCCTTAAAAGTGTTTGAAATGACTTCATAACAAAAATGCCACTGGCGTGGATACGAGAAAAAAAAATACTATCAGTAATGTAAAATAATTATTGAATAAATATCTTTATACAAATGAACAAGAGAAAAAAAATCAAACAGTGTGGGTCAGATTTATTGTTAACTGTTAACCCTATTGCCTTGAATGCCTTTGCAATAAAGAGTAATTGGAAGGTCGTCAACGCCGAGGCAGTTTGTTAAAGGCTCGCCTCCTGATTTATGACTACACTGGCTTTTTCGGCTTTGTTTCGACGGTTGAAAATTGTTTTCGCCCGGTCTAGGATCTTTAACTGCCCCCTAAAATCTTGAGGAAAGGCTTTTGTGGATTCTTGAGTTTGAAAGTCAACGGTTGTTGTGAATATTTCTTTCGTATTATCCTGTGTAATCTTTGATATCAAAGATGTATTATTACGTGTCCGAACATATTTATATTATATATAATTTTGTCTATTCGTTGTCATTAAGATTTCTATCGTATTAAAGTAATTTTCTTTCGTATAATCGCCATGTAAAGTTTTTTTTAAAACTACTTTTGTGTGTGAAATAATTGACTTTTTACTTTAAAGAGTCAAGTATTACATTTTTTAACAGGTGTGGAGGCAAAGGAAATTTTATTATGAGTTAGGAATCTGAGAACAAATAAGATAACTTTTCATAATAGCATTACATGGTGTTATGTTCTCAGCATTGATTTTAAAGTGATCTAAATGTTAAATTCTTAAAGTGTATTGTGTAGTTGCGGACGTTTTCCATCCCTGTTAGTTAAATATGCATTTCGGGATCTGAAAACTGATCTACTTTACATTTGGAAATGAACCTGGCTTCCAATCTGGTATGTTTTACTAACAATTATTGGAAAATGTCCTCAGTTATAATTTAAATGACACAAAATTGCCATCACGATCAAAGAACTTTAGATTTTTTCATTAATTGAAGTACAAAGCATTATTTTAACACTATTTTCCAACAAACAGAAATTTTTACACAATAATAGCGATTAGTGCAACTCATGTGCAAAGTGGCATGTCGCTTGTCTAGTGCATCAATGTTATCGAGTTAAAAGACACTTTGAACACGAGTTGCACAAATAGCTATTTTTGTGTAGAATTTGTGTTTGTTTGAAAATAGTGTTACAATAAACTTTACCTAACCCGCCATGTTAAACTTCCCTATCCCAAGCGTGATGTATACAACTTCTTTACTTCTCGAGTGATGTAAAGTTGAAAAAAACTCACTCGGTGAGGTAATGAAACCCATTTAAATAACATTGAGTGATTAACAAAAAATATACCTCTATGGAGCCATCAACGTTTAACGCTAGAAATCAGCTGTGCGCTTTAATTTTATTGTTATGTTTGAAGAATTTTCCTAACCTAGCTTTAGTTTGTAAATGAACGTTACAGTTAGAAGATGAGTGAAGTGAAATGGATAATGAAAAATATTGTTCGTAACCTCCTGTATATTGTCGGGTCAGGTAAAATCTTGTACGTTACACGTTACGCAAGAGCGTGTTTACATCACTTAGGTAAATTATACAACTTGCTTTCGCTCGTTGCACAACATTCACCTGCGTGATGTAAAAACGCTCTTACTACACTTGTAAGGTAAATAGCTATTGCTCTCTATTTTCCTCACTGCAGATGACAACTGAACAAAACAAAAATTCCTAGGAAAGTAACATGTAAAGTAACCTGTTGTGAAATAAACGCTTTTGCAAACTAATCCTACTAAGCAGAAAGTTGCCACTTTCCATGACACCAGTAGATAAACATATTTGTTACATGACCATATATTGTAAACATAACTACCAACTAATGTTCATAAAAAACATAGTCTACAATCCTTGATTTACTCATAATACAACAATCAAACTAATGAACTATTCAATCAAACTAAATAACTAACATTAAGGATTTATCATGCATACAACATAGCATGCAGGTAGAGTAAAAAACAACAAAGTATTTTTTTCTTTAATAGTAGGGCCTATATAGAAAAACACACACAGTATATATCACATAAATAAATATATACGAGCCATTCAGCAGAGCATTGAAAGTAATCTCTAGATCGGGGTATTATAAGCCAAATGGTGCGTTTAATAAAACAAGCCAGTAAAGTATATATTGAACACTGCCAGTTGGTTTTTATAGTTATCGCCTCATGGCTTAACATCACTTAATGCTTTTTTATTACCTTGAATGGTTTGTGATTTTAGAAATTTTTGGCATTGCGTTTTAGACCTCTTTGAACTAACATATGCTTCTAATATCTAATGCATTAAGCGTTGTAGTCTATTACTAGCGTATATCAGCAAGACTGTTCTGTTGCTAAAAGTTGGGTTTGGTTTGAAGTTTACCTTTATTTTCCAAAATATACCATCACTCGCACCACAATGTGTACCAATAGTAGGGTTCCTGTAAGTCGACCTAAAACACGTTAGGTATATTTCACAAATGTTTTATTTAACACAAATTGTAGTGTAATGAAGCCAAAGTCAAGTTTAATTTGAATTTGTATTACAGATTTTAAAATTATTGTGAATTAATACGTGTGAAGTATGACGTGATCCTGTTGGTTGTATCATGTTGTATTTAAATAGAGGCTTCTTTTATTTACTTTCTGTAAATTTAATAACACGTATAATGATGATCAAGAAGTAATTGGTATTTAAATACTGTTTGGATTTTTACAGTTTTAGCAAAACTTAATACATTTGTTTTGTAAGTAATCATACATATTTTTATATGATTGATTGGGTTTCTGCACAAAAATTGAATAAACTACTAACTTATTTTTTACATCAAAATTGTAAAAGTAATTTTCTGATATGATTGGGTATTTATTCCTAAAAAATATAAACTAAGTTTCTTTTTAAATTTTTTAATATTAACATTTTTATTTTTAACATATTTTTATTTTGTACTCAAATAAAATTCCTATTTAAAATTACATTAAATATATTTTCTGAAAATAACCAGTACACCGATCAATTCGGGTTAAACTCAATTATTTGTTACAATAAATGTTTCCCTTTTTTATAAAATAAAAATATTAGCTTACAAAATAAACTAATTTAATATGAAAGTAGAAATGTAGAGGAGCGTAGGCAGATATTGCTAGGACAATATTCCAAGCCGTCCCAGGCTTACATATTCCCTTTGGACCAACATTGGACTTGTTCAACTTCACTTGTCTCTCCTCCTCTTTTAACGTCTCTATTTTTTCTGAATCGTAAAAGAATTACAAGTTTAACGTATTTTGAAATTGAAGAAAATATTTACTTGTTGAAGTATATTTATTGGTATAATTAATTTTACCATTATTTTAGTAATATTTATTTACCAAACTATGAGTTTGTGATTATTGTAAGCTTTTCTCATAGTTTTTATTTCAAGTTTGAAT